GAGAAGCTGTTTTTCATGGCAGAAAAACACTCGGAGGTTTGCCATTGCCTGCCGAGGGACGACCGCTGTTAAGAAAAAACTTTTTATACCCGAGCGCACTTGTGCACAAGGGTATATTAATTTTGTTCACATAACGGTTGTTTGTAACAGCCAAAACGAATCGAGATAGATATAGATAAATGTATACATAAATGCTCAGAATGAATAGAGAAATCGATTAAGCCATGTCTGTCTGTCCGTCCGTCTGTCCGTCTGTCCGTCCGTCCGTGTACACGATAACTCGAGCAAAAATTGAGATATCTCAACGAAATTTGGTATGTAGGTTTTCGTTAATCCAAGGTAGGTTGGTATTGAAAATGGGCGAAATCGGACTGTAACCACGCCCACTTCCCATATAACAGTAATTTCCAGAAATACGAAAACTTCGATATTTTAGTAACTACTGAAGATAATTCACTCAAAATTGATATTTACAATAATATTCAGACGAAAAATAAGAATATTATAAATTTTTGGAAAAAGGGCGTAGCCACGCCCACTTATGGTTACATGTGTATATCTTGGTAACCGCTGCACCAATTTCTTCCACACTTTGCACAGTTGTTGGCCTTGATACAGCATACCAAATGGCCGAAAATTTTTAAAATCGGACAATAACCACGCCAACATTTCATATAACGGTAATTTTCGGAAATACGAAAACTGCGATATTTAAGTAACTACTGAAGATTATTCACTCAAAATTAATATTTGTAACAATTTTTAGACGAAAAATAAGAATATTATAAATTTTTGGAAAATGGGCGTAGCCACGCCCACTTATGGTTACATGTGTATATCTTGGCAACCGCTGCACCGATTTCATCCAAACTTGGCACAGTTGTTGGGCTTGGTACAGCATACCAAATGGCCGAAAATTTTGAAAATCGGACAATAACCACGCCCACAGTCCATATAAGGGTAATTTAGAGAAATGCGGAATCTTCGATAAATCAGTAAATATTAAAGCTAATTTATTCAAAATTGACGCTTGCAACAATTCTTTACCAAGAAATACGTTTATGGTAAAATTTTGGAAAATGGGCGTGGCACCGCCCACTTATGATCACATATATGTATATCGGTAACCGTTCTACCAATTTGTACCAAACTCGGTATTTTTATTTTGCTTGCCACATAAAACCAAAACGTTGAAAATTATTGAAATCGGACTAAAATTACGCCCGTTTTCATATAACGGTAAATTTCAGAAATGTTTGAAACTGCAATATTTTGAAATTTAAGGACGCTAATTTACTCAAAATTGATACACCCCGGCTTACCATCTAGCGGCAGCTTTCGGAAAGGTGAAAAAACATATATTTAATACTTGCGCCGGGTATTAAATGTTCGGCTCCGCCCGAACTTACGACTTTCTTACTTGTTTCTATATATTTTTTTGCGATGCTACTTTGACCAGGGTTTGTACCCAGATGCTGCAGAGTGGAAGCGCGCACTGCCTACCACTACACCACAGCGGCCACACTCAAATATTAATTATTATTTTTAATCTTTATTGGTTAAACTCGAAAAATAAAAATCAATGTAAACTACAGTAAGACGTACGTATACAAACACGTGGGTATAGTTAAAACTATTTTATGACGATTATTTTTTGGTTAAAATTTAAAAAATAATTATTATTTCCAGTCCCTGAAAAATTGTTTTGCTACATTTTTAATTTATTTTATTAATACTGATATTTAGATATGTAAACGAAGCTAACTCTTGGAAATAATACTGTCCAATGAGACTATTAAAAAGTGTTTTTTATAACAAAACAACATATTCCTGTTTTTATTTTCGATTCTCAACGGATGATCATCAAAATAAAATGCAAAAGCTTATTCAGTAATGCCAACTTTTCCGTATATGTACGTTTTTATTTAATTTTTAGTTTTTGAACTAGCAGTAAAATAAAAACTAGTTTGTCAAAGAGGCAAATTAGATGGCGTTCAAGATGACCGAATCAGAGCGAGAAGTTGCCAAGGTACAACAGCTTTCATAATTGCATCATGGGTCAAAGTTATATTCTGAATTTTTATCTATTTTTATAAGCTTTTATTTAACTTGGTCATCCCGCGCAAATCGCGGAAATTTCCAATCGATTTTAAACGGACTTCCCGACAAGTTAGAGACTTGAAATTTTCAGCATAGTTCCAATCACGATGACAATGCAATTTAAAATATAAATGAATTCCCCATTTGGTCCAGGGGTCTTAATTCAAAGGCGGTCAAAAAATAATAATATTTATGGCTAACAGAGCGTAATTTGCCAAAGAACATAAAACCACTATAAAATTGTTAAAGCTGCCGGCGCGCCGCGGCGGTAGTGTAGCAAAGCTACTTGTGGCAAATTCTAGATATCAACCTAGTCTAGATATGAACCTCGTTGAAGAAGTTAAATATTGCGCCTAAATATATGCCATGCTACAGCGGAAATGGACGACACGCCATTTATTTAAATAAAATTAACTGCTGCTATATGTACATATGTATGTTTATACAAAACGTAACCAAACAACATTTTGTTTGCCAAGTCTTCTGTTCTCTTTCATTGCAAGTTGAATTATTTTAATATCTATTGCAAAATTTTGTACATAAATTAAATTAACATTTTTTAATATACAACGCTTTTATTAATGGACTAAAAATTATAAAATAAAATAATGTAAAAAAAATATTTTTTAAAAACAAGCTTTTATTTAACCTGTACAATCAAAGGACTAAAATGAAGTAGTGTAACGAAAGATTTTTCAGCAAGAAAATTTTGTCAAAACTGCACTAAAATAAAAAAAATAAAATAAGTTAAGGTCTCGTTAAAGTTTCTAAAAGCCATTTAGTGAAAGGAGTTATCCAAACTCTAATGAAAATTACTAACAATTTGTACTAATTTACTTCGTTTTAAACAAAGCTTGTCGGCGACTTCAGCGTACATGCATAATTGGTTAGGTATGTATGTATGCAGATATTTAAATGCCGGTTTGCTATTCGCGCGACAAGCTTTTTTAAAAACGAAGTAAATTAGTACAAACTGTTAGTAATTTTCATTAGAGTTTGAATAACTCCTTTCACTAAATGGCTTTTAGTAACTTTAACGACCCTTAACTTATTTTATTTTATTTATTTTAGTGCAGTTTTGACAAAATTTTCTTGCTAAAAAATCTTTCGTTACACTACTTCATTTTATTTTTTGATTGTACAGGTTAAATAAAAGCTTGTTTTTAAAAAATATTTTTTTACATCATTTTATTTTAATGGTAAAATGATTCAGGAAGATCGACTTTAAATCTTAAAAGTAATACTATGGAAGGGTTTGGGGAAAAAGAAATTAGGGGTGAAGTGGATGAATAACACGGTCTTACGAGATATAGTTTTTAAGACGGGTAGGGGTGCTTCGAAATTTTTTTTAGCTCAGAACTAATCTGAACTTGAAAATTCTCCAGCACGTCAAGATTTTAGAACAAATTGCAAAAATTGGCGG